AACAAACTTCCAATAAACATTGAAACAGGCCTCAATCGAAGAAATTAATATGTATTAACCAAAGTACGACCCGTTAAATTCAAAACTCTTTTCACCATAGAAAAACTTATTACACCTAATTCTTCGTATCTTCGTGAAAAGAGAGCCCTGCATCTCGAAATCCCTCAGAAGAAAAGTAAAAAATCCAAGAAGCTCGCAATAAACACTGAAAACAGGCCTGAATCTAAAAAAGCAGCGAACCGTCGTACGAAAAGTCGTCGCGGTGAATCGATCCTCGTTGCCATCTTATCGGGCTTCTTCTTCCTCCGCCCTCTTGATTTTCCTTCTCCTCGATTCGCTACATATAGCCCCGGCCAAAGGGTGGTCGGAGGCGCCGCTGGGTGCAAGTTCACGCGTCGCGACTCCTGGCTTGTTCCCCTTGCCTTTCTGTGTGCGCCTCTGTATACCGTACACACCTACACACACTTCTCTTTCTCTCTCTCTCTCTCTGCATACGTGTGTGTGTGTGTGTGTGTGTCAGAACGTAGAGAGAGGGTGTGGGTGGGCGTCCCGGCGCTTTGTGGCGCGTTGAACCGCGGCCCCTTTGTCGTCGAGAGAGAGAGACAGAGACAGAGAGAGCAGAGAGAGAGAGAGAGAGAGAGAGAACGAGCCCTGGGGGCTGTGTAGAGACGCTTGGCCGCGCGGCAACACCGAACAGCCTGGCCCCACCCTGTGGACGGCGCTGGCACAATCATCTCGCGGAGATCAGAGAGCCCAGCCCGCGGGCAGCTTGTTATAAACGGCTTCTGGACGCCCGGCCAGGTTACAACGCCATGGATCACCTAGCAAAGAGCGAATTAACGCTTTTGACTCGCGCCTCGTCGTCGCTTTGCGTGCTCCAGACACACGGCCAACTCCGAGGAACAGTACTACTGGATCCTCTTTTATCTTCCCGCTTAACAGAGGGTGAATGTTGCTTTTGGAAAATTTGTTTTTCTTTTTTCTCTTTTTTCTTCTAGGGACTAGCTTTGTTTGTTGTTTAGATTGCTACCGAGGTGGGAGGATGTGTGGAGTTATTAGGGAACGGTTGTTGCGTGATTTGGTATAGTCGGTGGAAGAGATGTAGCGAGATCGTGTTACTTGTTTGAAATTTGAAGGAGAATTAATCTGAAGATAGGTTTGAAATAAAACATTTTTTCTTGGAAAAAGTATTTTTACGTTTTTTAATAGTGTTTAACCCCTTGACGTATGATTTATTTTCCTGACTGCGCATCTAAGCGTCGATTTCTGATGTACTGTAGATTAATTAAATTTGACAATCTTCAGTTTTACTAATTAAATCGAAAATTGGAGTGGAAATTCATTTTTGTTACCGATGTTACTGTTTTTATCTAATCCTGACCAAAATCTGTGACACGAGTCTGACTCGTTAATATAGGGGTAGGGGTTAACGAGGATTTCAAAATATCTAGAAATTATTTGAAATTTTTGCAAAATTTTTGCATCGATATTTGCTAGCCTAATTTCAATATTTTTTCTACATTTCTCTTTTATTCCCGCGTGACGATACCGTAGTGATATTAATTTCTCGATAAATTGCTGTTTATTAGTTGTCACTTCTTATGTAATTCTAATGTGTAGGATGCTTGAGGCTGTTTTATCGCGAAGTTGCAAGGAAATTCTGTGCAAAGTGTCGAAATTGTACACTACATAGTTCGATAAGTTGACTGGAATTCGATTCGAGCAGACACAATCATTCCGCAGAGTTCAGAGATTTAGCCTGGGGGTGGTTTGATGTAAACGGCTTGTGGTTTCGACGCCTCGTTAGATTGCAATCACCATGGATCAGTTATCAAAGAGGGAATTGATGGTCTGGTTCGCACGTGTGGATCGTTCACCCTGCGATAGCGTTTTCAGATCGAAGAACAAAGGATATTACAATACAAACGTTTTTCGAACTTCGATTATCTCCAACTTCCAATTATCTTCCGAGCAAAATAAATATTTTACAAACTGAAAAATACACTTGGCAATTATCGCTATTCTAATTCTCCGGATCAAGTTGAAACCAATTTAACTAACGTTCTTCTACTGTGATTAAAGTATCCAGTACTTCACAGATGTTCGTTATCTCGGTTAATAAATTCTTCAACTCGTTGCTCGATGAAGATAAGCATGATAAAAGAAATGAAGGAAATTATACATCGCTACTTGTATAATTAACCCTTTGAAACCTGAGCAATTTTTTCTTCAGTTTCATCTGGAAGTCAATCTCTTAAAAATTAAAGAAAGACTTTGGACCATTAACAACCTAACCTAACTGTTTCAAATCTGAGCGATTTTTTCTTGAGTTTCATTTGGGAGTTAGTCTCTCACAAATTAAAGAAAGACTTTGGACCATTAACAACCTAACCTAACTTTTTCAAATCTGAGCAATTTTTTCTTGAGTTTCATTTGGGAGTTAGTCTCTCACAAATTAAAGAAAGACTTTGGACCATTAACAACCTAACCTAACTTTTTCAAATCTGAGCAATTTTTTCTTCACTTTCATTTGGGAGTCAATCTCTCAAAAATGAAAGAAAGACTCTGGACCACTAAAAACCTAATTTTTCTTGACTTTCATTTGGGAGTCAATCTCTCAAAAATGAAAGAAAGAATCTGGACCATTAAAAACCTAATTTTTTCTTGACTTTCATTTGGGAGTCAATCTCTCAAAAATAAAAGAAAGAATCTGGACCACTAAAAACCTAATTTTTCTTGACTTTCATTTGGGAGTCAATCTCTCAAAAATGAAAGAAATAATCTGGACCATTAAAAACCTAATTTTTTCTTGACTTTCATTTGGGACTTAATCTCTTAAAAATGAAAGGAAGAATCTGTACCATTGAAAAACGTTTCAATTTTAATATACAGGTTAATTTACAATTTTTAAAGGGTCAAAAGTATAAACGAGTGTCAGTGCACATTCACACACCTAAGGATTAAACATTTCTAAACCACAGTTTGACAAGCTTCTAAAGCAAACTTCGCCAAAATTCTCTGAAGTATCTCTGAAACCGCTAATCCACCGAACTCAATCTCCAGTCTGCCAGCAGAAATTCGCACACTGTCATAGCAGATTCCTGTGATCCTGGCCCAACCTCTTTTGACTCAGTTCACACTTCACAGGGCAACGCGAAAGGGAACGAATGAGCCACGGACTTCATGAAACTACGCGGCGACGCGTGCTGGCCCCGGGCCACTTTGCGGCTCTCGCGTGAAATTGAAATTACAAGCTTCTGTCTGTCGCACGGGACAGAATTAATTTGCTGTTTCCATCGTGATTCGTTCTCTTTTGAGGACGTCCAATTTTTATAACACCGTTCGAAGGAGATTTCAGAGTTATTAGGTCAATCCTATACAGTTCGTAACGAAAGCGAAAAATATTTTACAGCGACGAAATATCTCTAACAAAACAGTGAGGAGAAGTTGCGGAACCACAAGGCTGTTACACTTTTTTCACAAAAATTAAACGTACGTTTCAAATATCGATCTAACTGAGGAGAGTCCCGAAATGTAGGTAAATCATCGATTTTGATGAAACTTACGTAGGATGTAGTTTTTAAAAAAATATTTAACACGTATTTTTTGTACACGTTGAAATCTATGCTGAAGATGTGAAAACAGCCTTCAAATTTGAAGATACAGAACGTATTTTCCGGAATATTTGAAAAACTATTAGGTTTATAAAAATCCAATAAATTGCAGAGATTGCTCGTTTCTAAACGAAGAATTCACTTATGCAAATACCTTCGAACAAATTCATTTGTTTCAATAATACATCAAAAATCGGCATATTTTTATTAAATTTTCTTGCAAAATGTTAATCGAAACGCGGATAAATTACAATTTCGATTATCGACGTCGCAGCAAAACTGAATACATTGGCAATTTTCTCTATACGAGATGAAGTCGTTAGGTACGTATGATCGTGAAGTTTCGTAAGGACTCGCAGCACTTTTACAGCCCTCTTCCTGTCACGCCTCTTAAAACTACGCGAAAAAATAATACCCGCTCCTCGAGACACCACACAATCATACATCTACCCTTGGCGATCCTAAAACCACTTAAAAATTGCCGAAAAAAAAAAACAAGAAAAAATCCTAATCGTGGTGGCGCACGAAGGCTCTCTAGAGCCTTGTTGTTCCACGAAAGGAACAGCCACGGGGGTAAGAGGTTAGCATCCAGTCACGGATATCGACCCC